AACAATTGAAGCACAAAGTATGGGTTAAGTGCTTCCTGAGAATGTTGATGGAAAGCAGTTCGCAAGTTCCAGGCTTGATGGACAGAATTCCAACCCGCAGGCTTCTGCTAACTATGGAGCCTAATAATCGAATAAGAACCGAGGTTGCACGGGTCGCTTGAACGATTCACAATAGACTTCATTTCAAGTCGCTAAACAGTCACATTGTGTCCAATAACGCCTCCAAAACTCTTCTGTCACAAGTATTAGGTGTGTAATCATTTGCTCATCTCTTCCATCGCACACTGGAGATGAGGCAACCACAGTCTCGCGTGATAGTAACCCCCTTGCCGCAGGCCACAATGTCTGTGGCACATCATACATACATGTACATGCTCACTACCAACAATCAAAACCGATCGACTAACGACTTGAGATCAAGTCCAGTTCAAATTCGATTTCAAAAACATGTACCTCGTAACACACACTACAGTTTGCTGTATTTCTTAAACCGTTCGTTAGAACACATCATCAGATAAGATCAGTTTTTATAGTGAACATCCACACGTAAATATTGTGGTCCAACGTACAATTGCATTCCTAATTTTACAATACTTTATCGAGCAACTGCGGCGTTTTGCAAATTTCAGAATAACTTTATTTTGAATCATCGTAATTCGCTTTTTCCCAACAGAAGAGACTTCTTACACTGTGCTTTTAAGTTTCTAAAGTGGCGCCATTTGTTCTGTTTTGCCAATTTTGACTTGTTTGTGACGCTTTTACGGGGGGAAGTCGCACTTCACCCTCAGTGACCTCAATCCGAGTTCCATCTGCGGTTGACTGAGCGGGACACCATGTGGATTGGGTGGCTCTAGTCTCCCTACGCTGCCGGAGTCATATCCACTTGAAGCTCTACCACAACTTGTTACGGTTTACTCAATAATACAACAGTAAAATTATGACAACATGATAAATCAATGTGTGAACCACTGGAACTCACTTTTAGTTATATACAGGGTGTAACGACTTTTCCCAAATCCATTCAGTCTGTTTCAAGAACGTGTGGCCCATCAATCTTACGCTTATCTCCGGTTTCTTCAAAGTGTAAAGACTGAAAGATAAGAACACCTCTCTTCTCCCTAGATGGGATGTTCATCGAATTTGCTCCTAAGGTCCTAAGATAATGCCGACACTCCCGAGAGCCATTTATACTTCTGGATGGAAAGAGGTAAGTAGGGGTGAAAAGCCTTGCCAAATGAAGGCCGCAACTTTTGGCCAGCAGGTGGATTGGAACCCTTGATTACCAGTCACACAAACCTTATCAAAAGGCCACACCAAGTTCCCTTTATGTCCATTAATGATGAAATCAAATGATGAATACCAGAAGCTTAACTTCAAAGTTCAATTCATAGCCCAGCACGTTTCTGCTCCTTCCGCAACTTGCAAATCTATATATAACTAAAAGTAACATGAAACGGTTTAGGGATGAACGCTTCAGCATCGGTCTTATTTTTATACCCGCTGCGACCTGCAAGACGCCAGCTAAAATTTGTCTGGTGTCGCAGGTATGGGGAAGAGGATTGGGCTGATTTTGGAAAGGTCAGTAGTTCCTCGAAAGGTAGAAATCTTAACAATGCTCACCAGTTAAAATTTGGAATCCAGCCCTTGGAAGTAGGACAGACATCCTGTTTTCATAATCATACGCCCGAGAGAGTAATAATCATCGAAATTTTGTCAAACGGGTAGTATTTGAGACCACGGTAACGACTGAAAAACTGAAAGGCAGGTAATGAACCAAAAGCAAGTTTGGACTGGAATTTCGGACAGAGTGTTTTCCTTGTGCACGTTACTTGCGAACGTTCCACCTGCACATGTGATACAATCCAGGTCCAATTTCCCTTCTTAAAAAAGGCAAACTTTATTCACTTTTGAAATGGACGAATTATAAACATCCGCCGAAGAACTGTCCTGCCTTGCCACGTTACAAAGAACATGCATGGTGCCAATCAAAATTTCAAATCAAACAAACGGCGAAGATTATGTTTTCTTAATTTACACTTTTGACACAATGTCGGTAATAAACAAAATGAAAATTACATGAAATACATAAATATGTGTAAATACAGTTTTGATTTCAATGTTTATGCTGCTTCTCTTATAAATTCCAATGGGCAAGACAGTAAAGTAAACCATTCAGCAATGATTCAGTTTAGATCTATATGTACACACGGTAATTCAGCACAATATTTTGCGAACGTATTTCTTTCGTTTTTTTCGTCATAAGCTATTGTGATACTTGTTTTGATTGCAGGGAAAAGTGTATGTTTAATTTGGAGCAATTTGATTCCCTAAGTCATGCGTCAATTATATAGTAATATGCCAAAAGGCACTGGGCGGGGGGGGCGATTACGTCATGAACAATGTTACGGGGATTCGTGATTCAATATTATTAACTGCACGAACAAAGCCCGTCTGCACAAAAAACCCACCGACCACGACTAATCTGTGGTAATGCAATCATTTGCATAATGGCAGGATTATAGCCTGTCAGCCGGACGATAATATTCGCCAACAGAAAATCGTGAGCATGACGGACAATGCATGTGGGATATCTAGTTTACTCCTACAGAAATTCCCAGCAAACATACGTACCACGCTGATGTATGCTTTACATCTGATTACCTCCACAGACGATCAACCATCAATGGCAACACATCTGTCGCATACATTATGTTAATTACTTCATATTCCCCGCCTCGAAAAAAACCGCTTCGGCTAGATAGTATAAAATGTACTTCATTTTAATTATATTCCATTCAAACCATATACAATGGCCAGACAGGCTTGGAATGTTGCATGGGATGAGTAGCTATGAATGCACGTCGTGTGCCACGACTGCCTTATGCTAATGCATCAAACCACAGACCTCAAACCCGTACAATTTATGCGCGCTCTCGTAAACAGAGCGCATATTTAAAAGTCAAATCATTGGGGGGCCAGCTTATAATTAGATTGAGTATGTTAATTGTGGGTGCACACAAGGTTCAATCTCAGTGGGACGGTGGTTGGGGGTTTCTTCACGCACCAAAAGTGCTGCACCGGCGCTGAAATGCCACGCAAATGTACTGACCCCGTGCAGGTTAGTAGTGCGACTCCAAGGTAGTAATTTTTTCATCAAACGCGAGCGCTGTAGGGCAAGGCAGCAGCACGCATAATAATGCATGCAGTGCATCGACTTCAAGGGTGACTCAGTGACCATGCTATGACTGAATTAATGTAGATGAAAAATCAATCACACAGGAGACCCTTGCATAATTTCTGATGTGTGTTCCACCTCCTCACCAAGAGCTAATGACTAATTTGCAATACTAATTAAAAATTAGTAATTGATCGCGTCGGGTTTTCAGCTGGTCGGGACACCGTGGGGATTAAAAGCTTGGGTCATTTTCCAGGCATTTCATTTTCCATCTATTTTTCATTTACGGAAGTATGTGGGAGATATTTCTTGCCGGGAGGTGTGAAAAGGTCAAAGGGGCATTCATTAGCTTTTTATTGGGGAACCCGGCAGGGGAACTCTTTCGTGATCTGAAGCTCCGTGTACAATCCAAATACATCATGATATTATTTACAATGGATAGGATCTCCCAAATAAAAAAGCTACAAAACTGTAAACAAAGCTTAATATTTATGAAGTGATTGAATAACTTACTATTTTGAAACCTCATCTTTATGACCTTTATGACTGTATTTTTAAAAAATGTGTTTGTACCTTTATGGGTGTTTACAAATGTGAACCTCGCCGGTTATTAAAAAAATATTGCTTATATAGAAATGAGTCTTTGTCTGACTGAACATAAATGCCATTGGGAAGCTTTCCTATTATGCTTTGAGGTTGAACAATGACGTACATCCAGATAATTATGTAGAAAAAAAATATAAATTGACAAAGCAAGTACATATGCCATATTTAGATGTAGTCTCCGTTTACAATACCAAATTAAAAATGAACAGGGATGTAGAGACAATAAATTCAGAAAAGCCTAAATTTTCGACAGGTTGTTTTGTTATAAAGGAGCACTTCCACAAAATGAGATCAAATATTCACAAGATAGCTGCAGTTGCGGGTACTTTCCGTGTTCGACAAAAACATCATAAATATTCAACTTCAGTCTATCGGCTGTAATATCCAGTACGCAAAAGTATCGCTTCACCATAAATGAACTTTGCTGCGTTCACGGCAAGGCTTTCAGTTCTGTCACAAAATCATACTCAGCTATGTGACCGAGTATGGACACAAAAATGAACACATGTAGTTCGCTGCGGCAGATTCAAGGTTAGCCGAAGTGGGGGGGGGAGCAGACGTCTGTTATTATTTACGTACATGAACACGTACAGTGTCAAGAACAGGTATCAAGTGGGTGTGATTTCTAGGTAGATACATTTATTACACAGGACATGTCAGATGACAAGGCGGACCACATGTGCAGAAATGTGTCATGTGAATCATGATCTGTCCAAGTGTTCAATTTGAGTCATGCTGAAGCAGACAATGGGGTGAAATGAACTATTTTGTCTGGGACGTATCCATGAATGGGCCCGGCTTGATGAAAAAATGTTGTGAAGAATGCGGTGGCCATTGTTTCATAATCAACGAGGTCATATATATTTTCATATTTTAATATTTTGCTTATTTGAATCAGTGTGTGAAATACATTTAATTCATCATAATATTTATGTTATTGATTTTTGACAAGCAGCATACACCTTGTAGGCCCTATGTTGTTGTTTTTTTTCTGGAAGGAGGTACTACAGTCATTCTTTGCACAAGCTTTGCTGCTGCACGGATTAATATGTTCGACTTTTTACTCGTTAACAGCTTTCTGAGGGGACCTATGAACTAGGAACACGTGTTTAGAGGAAGTGCTCGACTCCCAACAGAAGATTAAAATGTTTTCAAGAAAACAACAACCAAAAAACATCATTCCCTGGGACAAATTGAAGACGCAGTAAACTTTTCTTACCTCGATACGCGTTTTTTCCAACTCTCTCTTCATCTCCTTGCGGGTATTTTCCGAGTCCACGAGCTTCCTCCTCAATATCTGGCACTCGTCCTCCGTCTTGGCCCGCTTCTCCTCGATCATCTCCAGTTCTTGGTGTAGCCTTATAGACACATCCTTGGCCGTTCTCAGCTCCTGCTGTAGCTCGGCAACCTCACCAAGCCGAGCATCCTCGGCTGGGGAGGAGTCCCCAGAACTCCGAGAGGAGTTGGCCGAGGGGGCGGGGATACCAACCGGGGTGGTCCTCAGGCGGTCCTCCCACTGAGTGCGCTCCTGTTCATACTCCTCGACCTTCCTTTCGGCTTTCCGAAGGCGGAACTGGAGGATGCGGCAGTCTCGTACAGCTCGGTCGAGCTCCATCTTCATTTCTCGGTATTCCTCAATTTCCCCTCCCTCCCGGAACTTATCCGTTGACTCCTCAACTTCCAGGCGCATCTCGGTCAGCTCCTCCTGGAGTTTGGCGTTCTGCTCTGAGAGATCTTGGGCAAGTTGTTCCACAGCACTAAGACGGGACTGGAGTTGGAGGACTATCCTTTCCCCTTCGTGGTCATCATCGCTCTCCACGAGGGTCTCTATTATCTGCGGCACGTTCACATTGGCGGCCGCCATATTGGATCCCGTGTCAGCATCACCTGTGCGGTGTTTATCATTTGTTCCGTGCTCCTTCGATTTCTGCTCCATGGTATCTTTTACAGTTGCAGTGTTCTCCGCGGGGGAGGATGACGATGTTAAAGATGACGCTCTCCTGATCACTTCATTGGCTGTGCCTTCCCCGGATGGGATGCTACGCTCTTCACCACGTCGCGGCTTTGGCGGTGCTGCTTTGTCCTCATTAACGCCGATAACCTCCTTATTCTTCGTCTTCTCCGTTCCTTTGCTCCCTTGTGTCCGTCTACCTATCTCATCCTCCTCCTCTTCGTCTTCATCCATCTCGATGAGGGGTGAGGGCACCCGTTGGTGCTGATGATACATTCTATCGACGGCAGGTGGGATGTAAACAGGGAGGGCACACAGTCGCACCTCCTCAGCGAATGATCGTTCTACGAGTGTCCGTTCAACGTCTCCCTGCTCTATTGTGACCTCTTCTTTGATATCGTCTCCCTCTCGCACGCTCGCATCCGTCGTAATTAACCTGCGCTTCGCGCAGGCGCTCCGTGTCGCCGACCTGCATGCATTACTCTCGCTGCTTGCATTATTATTATTATTTACCGCCTCCGTTCGTGCTGATGGCGCACGGTCGGATAACGGCGCCACTGACGATGAAGTGCCCCGCAAAAAGTTTAAACTCTCCAAGCTACGCGATCGCTGCAGCGGCTCGCTATCGCTTGCAGAACGTTTCCGTCTCTCCGAATCCACGGTCGTGGGGATGGATTCTGTAGACTTGGCCAGCCGTGTGTTTAAATTCGCAACTCGCAAGTCGAGTGTACGACAGCTGGATGCGGAGCTGGAATTGTTTGCGTTCAGCTGCTCGCTAGCAGGAAACACGTCCCCTGACAGTTCGGCTCCCAGTAGGGAGGATAAGTCATCGTATGTTTCATACATTGACGAGTCCAGGCATTGCACGTTGGGCTGGAACATGGCCGTCAAGTCTTGCTCATGCTGGGCCCTAAGGTGAAGGTGGACCAAACTATCCTCGTCTCTGTCAGAGTCAACATAATCTTCGTACTCATCTTCCTCGTCTAATATTCCATTCTGCCGAGGATGATACACATAATCCGCCTGGTTATTAGGGCGGGAATTGTGCCTCCTAGAACTACTGGTCTCCATCGTGTTAGTAGCTATCAAGCCGTACAGTTCTAGTATGTCTGCGTCCTGTTTACCTCCAATCAGTGAAGACAAATGAGATGACGAGACATTGACATAACCCGATTCCGCATGGCTGATACCAGACACAGCGGACGGTATCGTCTGATGATGCCCGATACTATCGTCTGACGGCAAGTCTCCTCCTGGCGATGCTCCCTCACGCTGGCCTCCGTTCCTCGCGTTCCAATCATGCCTCGCCGTGATTTGCCGAGGATGATCCCCAGTACCACCGCCGTCACTGATACCACAACTCCTAGCACAGCCGCTGATAGTGCTGTTACTCGTGCTACGCGTATCATCAGCAGAGCCTGTACTGCTGAGTTTGTCCCGAGGTAACTGCCAAGTACAGAGATGGCTCCCACGGCTGGCAATCCTTCCTACGTTGTCCCCTGCACAATCAAGCAGTCTAACTTCCTTGTCGCATGCACTGAAGTCGGCCACGTCTCTCGTATTTATATCCGGGTCCAGGAAAGGGGGCGTTGTGTGACGGAGAGGGGGCCACTCATTCGACAAAACTCTGCTCATTTTCCAGCAGTTCCAACTTTATTATGTCGCATGCTACAGGCAAACACCGTCGAGTAGCATCATCGTAACAACGTCCTCTGGGGCCAACATATCGAGCAAGGTCACCAGTGATTTATAAGGCGTTGCGCCGGCCAAGCTGTGTTTCCATTGCCACTTCACAGTGTGAAGCCATCATCGCACGCGGTCTTATGGAATGACAACCTGGTTTGTATTATGCACGGCTCTGTTGGTGTTCAACACAACTTCTATTCAGGCTCCTGTGATTGGGGTAGCTGTTTGTACACACACACACAATCGGTGACTGTGAATAGGGATGCACTCCAGTGAACCCGCTCAACGGATTTGGATGGTGTTAGCGAACGTACATACGTGATTGAGAAGCACTAACCCCCCATGCCCGTGTGGCTGGAGTGCAGTAAACGTGAGCAGTGTACACCTGAACAACAAATTCTCAGTCTAACGCAGCGGTGTTCAAGAGTCCACTTGTTTACTGATGCACAAAAGTACCAGCAAGATATTGTTATGTTGGGAAGCTTCTATCGTCCGCGCATCACGCCACAGTCTGTTGCTGAACGTGCACCGTGTCGGGTTTTATCAACACACTTGTTGCGTGTCGTCTGTGCAACCCTCTCCGTGACGTGTTGTTCAGTGTAAGGGTCATCTGGTGTCGCAGGTTCTGGGTCGATTTCAGATGATTGGAGTGGCGAGAATGCATGCACCTGTACATGAACTTGTGGACTTACTCATTGGTTGCGTGGTTTGTTTTACACAAAAAAAATTGTTACAGATATGTCACTGCTCTGGTATTATTATTCATGGTATATCCACGTGATGGGCGTGCCGTCATGCCTGTGGCGCAGTCTAGTGAGTGCATGCACGATGGAGTGATGATTTTTTTTCACACACAGCGAAGTTTCACTGGTCATCTGAGTAGTACTTCCCCTCTACCGCGCCGCTGCGGTCACATTTCTCTTTTCCTTCCATCCTGATCACGGTTACTTAATCAAATCAAAAGTACTGATGTCATAGCCTCTTCGTTTAGAGAAATAACCATCACAGACCCGATGATAAAAATTCTGTGGGCGACTTATTGACCGAAAAAAAATATGCTGGGTATAAAACCCCGCACTTCTATTGAACCATTCGCACGACCCACTCTGCAAAGCCCGCGATCAGAACGAAATCCAAGTTCGCTTTTTGATGATTTTTACGCAAGTAACTAGCCCGCTTGAAATGTACTCACGTGCAAGGAATGCGCAGTCACTTTTACGCGTGTCACGTCGAGCCGGCGGCAACAGTGACCTCCCTACTCTTTGCGTATGCGTGTTGCGTTTTCCATCCTTGAAGCCAACACGTTAATTGCTGCTTGTTCTGCATGACCATATGGTGCAAGTACTAAACGCGTTCATATGTTATAACCACGTGCAAGAGGCAAGTTTTTTGCCAGTTAAGGTGCATTTGGCGTGACTCAGTGTTTGTCCCGCATATTAATTGAAAATTTATTGCGGCATCTCACTAGCCCATAATTTGAATATTTATTTTTGGTTGTTTACATTCTACTCGTAATTTAATTGATGTCGGCCATTTTGTTGCGACCAATAAAGTTGCATACATGCAGCGAATTGACGATAAAGACAGAACCTATCCCAAACTGCCGGGAGCGACTGAAGGCTCCGAACACATTATTCAAACGGCCAACGGTTTAGGTTTCCGAGATAAGCCCCGCTCTGGTCTGAAATGACGAGAGGCTTATTTCATTCGTCCAGGAATGGCAGACGGCAAATGACTCATCCGCGACGATTGCCATCACATCACTAAGTTTTCACTTCACATCATTGGCGCCCCCCCCCCTCTCCCGAAATGCTGCGATGATTGAAGCTGGGCAATTGATAACTTGAAATAGACTATCGGAGAAAAAAAACGAAAAGGCAACCAAACTTGACGCGGGTGTGCATCATTTTCATGCATGTCAACCGAAATCTGAGGAACAGCGTTGCTTCAGTGAGTGGACACGGTATAAATTAGGATCCACTCGTTTTCTGTTTTCGTTTCTCAGTGTTGTAATTATCAGGGAGCGATGCTCATCAAAATTGGCGCTGTCGTCTGGTTATATACAGTGGTGAGCAAACTACGCTTACGGAAATACCGAGGACGACGGAGTTGTAGAGGGCGCCCTGTGATTTTGACAGGTGGCTGCAATTATCCCCTCAATGTTAAAGAGGAAATTTAGGCCAGGGAGAGACAAATCCGAGTATTTTTGAAATATTATAATACTTAGTACTTTTATCTCCCTTCTATTGTACCGGTTTTGCATTTGTGGTTATTTTCCACATCCTAATTTTGCATTTGTTGTCTTTTTTCCGTCCCGATTCTCATTCTATCAGCGTCCTGATTTTGTTCTCGAATTCGTCGGTGTTGTCAGTTTGGCCACTCTGCACTTTCTTTGCTATACATTAGTGTGTTAAATGAAAGGATTTCTAACATCATCATTTCGCCGTTTACTTTGTATGCAGCGCTTGAGTTTCTTTAGCACCGATCTTGCAGCTGACTGGGAAAACCTACATACCAAAAGACAACGCTGAGTAATCCTTAAAGTGACTGCGTGCCACGCCGTTACTGAATGACTTTGTATGTACAATTTCCAACCAAGGTTTCCTTTGAGTGACACCGTTTGTGTCTTCTTGATCAACCATTAGCCCTCGAAACTCACTGTATACACCATCCACGACCGAATTCTAACAACAGAGAATGATGAAAGTAAAACAAGATTTCAAGACATTTATACCATGGGTTATTCCAGAAATAAGGGGTTCAATTTTTTCGTGTCCCTGTCACATATGATATATGATTTTTTAATTTCCAAGAGTGATGAATTATTAAAGCAAATTACCTGCCAAACAAATACTAACAGTTTGAAATCAATTCCGGTGATATTTCCATGTCAAATAACAAAGGTTACATGTAACAGGGACTAAACAATGTCACACTTTTGGACCCCTAATTTCTGGAATTACCCACTTATTCTAAACAGAATTGGATCCTACAATACGAATGCATTTCTACTTCATTTACACAGCCTGGGCATTTAGGGTTGGAGTTGTTATCCAAATTTGCCTATACTAGGACTATGCTGGCACCTAGCTTGCTTTTTACACCCAGACAATGATTTCACACGTACGGTTCTGTAAAATAGTGTTTGCCCCTTCAACACACGGCTTTGCATTCATCAGTGAGCCGACTGGAAAGCTAACAGGTAATGCGTTTGTACACTACAACATGACAGAAATACAAAACTGATCATCAACATTTCAGTGAAAAACAAACTAGGAAAAAAACACAAACTATACAAATAAGCCAAGAGAAAACATAGACTTTTGGAGCCTTTTCAGTTTGCTTTTAAATAATAATTTCAGGAAAAAGTTACCTCAGTTAATGCAATCGCAGTACAGCTTCCATCCATTAACATTCAGAGCACACACGGGAAGCCCCCCGTTCGTACTTCGACACGGCTTTCTTCCTTTATTTAAAATCATTATGCACTTGCACAAATTTAATTTCCGAACCGGCCGAAAATTCTTAATTTATGGTATAATGCCTGGGGTAAGGATTAATTGCATTTCTTTTCTTGCTCACAAAACCCCGAAAGTCTCGAGGAACATTGGCTGAAATTAAACGACAGCAAGGTTGGATCCACACGTCACTACTTTGCGATCGCCCTGAAGGTGCCAGACGCTTTTGATTCTGAAAAGATTATGTAGGTTCCCCAATCCCCCCACAAGGACTGATTAGGATATTACTGGGCATGCAGAGAATGGCTGTCGCAATGCATCATCGTCGTCAGGCAAAATAGAGCATTGGACAAGGCAACGTGGTATGAACAGCGATTTTTATGCTTTGTCTCATCTAATCTAAAAATATTGAGGCTGGAGAAATCCAAGAAATGGATGAGGAACTGTAGACTGGACTGTGACTATTTTAAGAGCGACCCCTTTTATTTCGGATAATGAAATTTGAGAAAAAAACTGTGTCTTGATGTTTAAAAAAGTGCTCATGAGGTCTCTTGGTTTGTTTATTGTAACGAATAAATTATGAATTGGTACGGCTGAACCAAATTATTTGACCTGTATTAGCAGGTTAGTGTTAGGCCTATATGAAATCATTATTTTCATAAAGAAACTCACCTTAGTTTAGTAAGAGGCCGTCATGACCTAACTGAACACCGGCCCCTTATTCATTTCAGATCGAAATTGCATGAATTTTGCTGCCACACTCCACACAGAATAACTGGAAGACCACTGCAATACGTTGTCGATCTTCAATTTCAAATTCCTTTTGAATTCAATTTCAATCTGTTTAATTCATAATCCCTGCACTAATTTGCATTAGAAATGACGTAGTCTCAGGAGAGCATTGCCCGTGCGCATCTTCAATCTGTCGTTTGCCCAATTAACACTCAAACGAATTAATATTAACGGGGAAAATACAACCTAACATGGCATAACCGTAATCTTTGGCTACATGCTGACAGGAGAAAAAGCCAGAGTCGCCGATCTCATGCGGAACCCCCAACCCACCACCACCATTGCTACAAGAACAAGCCAACAAAAAAAAAAAACAGCGTAAAAAGAACTATGAAATGAGACAATGTACACGTGAACAAACACCTTCAGGGAACTCTGTTTTCCCCAAGAACTAGCTCCGAAACTGTCAATACGAACCCATTTTAAGAGAAACACGACACTCCTAGGCCCTAGCGTATAAGAATGAATGGTCGCAGGCCAAACTTTGCTCTATGTATCACTTTAGCGTTCAGGTTTTAAGAAATGTTAGGAAACTTAAGATTTAAAAATGTGTTTCAGGTTGTCACACCTTTAGGCACGGACAGCACAGCTGATTTTTATTGAAATGCACATGCTGGCTTCATGTTCGGTTTTGAAAATAAGCATTGTATTCTTCGGCCAGTGTTTTAAAATGTCCATGTGCATTTTGGTAATGCGTTGGTGATCCAAACCTCAATCAACTTGGACTCAGACACATCAGACATAGTATTTTATCCGTAAAAAGGTTCATAATTTGGCCACGTCACAAGAACATCAATGTAGCCTACGAAGGATCCAAAAAACAGCACCAGAAGGCAATGGCAAAGGAAAGAGACCCAAAGGCCATCCACCCACGATGGCTTGACTACATCTCACAGAACTGTCAGTAAAGATACATCGTCAAGAATAACTGATGCAGTAGAATGTGGTGAAGATCAAAAGTTATCTCTCTGTGAAACAAAAAAAATTTGCCTTTCAGTACTACATGTCATACTGTTTATTTATCTTTTAATGTAACCATATAGACTGTGGAACTGTTGATTAGTACATAGAGTCGGATTGTTTTAATTAGCTCTATAGATAAGTGAAAAATTAGGCATGGGCCCTACAAACTCTACACTTAAACTACATGTACATCGTGACGTCTTTTAATCATTTTAAAAGTACATTAACTTACATTGACTCTGACTGCTTTGTTTTTAACACTATCCTGTTCCAGTTTAGTTTTCATTACTTCAGCAGTTTTACTAGGGTATACAACTTTCACGGTAGAAGAACTTGCAATAATTATTCAGAAGAAGGCCGTGTCCGAAACGGGCTTCCAGAGCTACGGCTAGGTCTATTGTCTACGCGTCTCCACGCATTTCTGATGGAGTGAAGACCTAGACCTAGCTCTAGACAAAAGATTCGGATGCAGCCGAAGACTCCAATCAAACTGTATAGCGCCCTCAGCAAATCAAGAACACATTTAACTTCCTTAAAAAAAATCAATTGAACAATTTGAATTAAATAGCAACTATTTTAAATAAATTCTTTTCCATTAACAAAAAATATTTTTAATTAAAATCCAATGACTAATTTAAATTTATTTCAAGATTCAAAATTCTGAATGATGATCACGATTTAAAGATAATCAGGAAGTTAGGAGGTTCTATTACCTGAAGGTCAGATCAGGTCACCTCTACTCGCTAAAATGTCTCTTATGAGGGTATCTGCAATTCGTCTTTTTCGGCCGATAGCGGCAGTATGGTAGGACCCAGCATGGAATTATGATAACTATCCATTCAATTATTCCCATTGTCTGGGAAATGATAACGAAATTGCAATTGAAATGTGGGAAAAAAGACTTGTACCATTGACCGTATTTGCATTTATGTTAGCAATACCAATCAATAATGCCGTACCAATACTAAGTAGGGGCCTAGGCATGCCTAGGCCTACTCCAGAACTGTGGGGTCCATCATCCACCCTACTCTCACGACGTCGGACCCCACAGTTCTATGAAACCCCTTTTCCGTGTATGTATCACTCCCCCCATCAGTACTCTGATGAGTTACTTTTGGGCGATTTCCAATTTGTAGAAATCCGTGAAATTCGTGGGTTTTGATTTGAGCCATTTGTTTACTACATTGACTAACTCCCGATCGCTAACTGATGCCAAACACAGTCAGAATCTGTTTTGTCTGGGAACCAGACAGCTTTGGAGATGGTGATCCGAACTGCTGTTTCATCAGCAACTGCATATCACTCGCAAAACCTTGTGTAAAAATGTGTGAAAACAACAGCCATCAGGTATTTTCATGGTTGTGCGTCATCATCGTGCGGGATGCGCATTGGATGAGGGAATGGTGTGCGCTCTACACATGCCATACTATATCTGACATTGAGTTCACACTCGATCCCAAGCATCAAATGCATTTCGGTTCATCATTCATCAACGTTCATTGACAATGTCATGCTCCGGGGATCTGTAGTAACGCTGTTTGGTTGCCAGACCACACAGCATCCCGACTGTGTTTAGCATCAATCAGCAATCAAGAGTTCATCTCTGTAGGAAACGAATGGCCCAAATCCAAACCAAAATTTTACGGAATTCTACAAATTGGAATTCGCCCAAAGTAATAAAACAGAGTAGTGATGGGGTGAGTGATCCATACATACAAAAGGGGTTTCATAGAAGGCATTTTCCCCGAGTTTCCACTTCTTGAATGGACCCCTGTGGGGCGTAAAATACAGAGGGAGTCCAGTAGACTGGCCCCCAGTCTGCATGGTCTGGAACTAGGTCGGGCGATGATATGATCCATGTACCTTCCATAGGCTTTGCTTCCATTAATTCATTTCACTCCAAATAGCTTGTACCCCTAATCAATATCCTCTGAATTCACCTCCAAAATGGTCCCTAAACTGTCTTAGGATCAAGTGAGGATCGGAGATTCCAGTAACAATGATAAGGTTTACACATTTGGGAAGTAAAGAGAACTTTCCCCTTCAAATCGGAAACAGTCTTGTCGTCGAGCTTGTTCAGATAGCGATTTGAACTGTATGTTAATGTTCTGGAGATGACGTCACAGCATGCTGGCCTCTAGTTGACGATTCACAAAAAGCATGCTTTGTTGTGTCAGCACACGCGCCGACAACTGATATCTGAGTGCCGTATGTCTGGTAGCTACGATCACATTAAAACTTTTTTCAAGATGTATTTTTTTTGCGTTGGGGAGATGTTAATTTATATAGCAGGGTTTTGCCCTTATCCAACGTATATATTAATAAACACTGTATGCTCAGTGCTTGTCCGAAAGCTTACTCGGATGGGACTCAAACCCATGACCTCCTGCTTACTAGTGCAGACGTCTTAACCACTCGACCACCAAGCTTGCCGGGGTCGGCTGGCCGGTCTGAATCAGGTGAAGCAGCGGGTACCGCGAACTATTTTCAGTTTGTATCTTTGCGCTGGGGAGATGTTAATTTTTATAACTGGTTTTGCCCTTACCCAACGCATATATTAAAAAACACTGTACAGATGTATTTTCAAGATGTTTCACTTTAAAACAGGATTTATCAAACAAACATCAGCGAATACAGCTATCGAATAGCCAATGGTAGACAATGACATTTTTTCAGAAAGACAAATTTTTATAATGGTGCAGGAAAAAATCACTACCAGTCAGTGTTTTTCTAAGGATGGATTTTGCGCCGGGGACTACCGAGCTTGCCATCCATCCATCTGTGGAAATAGTTGTTCCCGATACCCGCTGCTACATCTGACTCTGAACCAGCCAGCCGACACCAGCAAGCTCGGTGGTTGAGTGGTTAAGCCATCTTCACTACTACGTAGGACGTCATGGGTTCGAGTCCCAACCGAGTACGCTTGTGGGTTTTCTCACAAGTCTTTGGGGGCAAACTCTGAGTATACAATGTTAAAATACCCATCAGGCAGGGCAAAAATCCAAAATTAGTCAGTGTTTCGTTGTTGATCCTTTGCCACCATGCCCATGGCCAACAGCCTCGAGTTGCAAAATCTCTTCCTGAGTGTATTCTGGCACTAGAAATATTGCTTCATCAGTTCCTTCATTGTCGTTTTCTTCATTAAATGAATGAGGGGAAGATGACAACTGATCGCTGTCATCATCGGAATAAGCATCAGCGTTGGAATTATCGTCGCTTGAGTCTGACATGATGGCACACACTAATGCTACTGCTTTACGTACATGTTGACAAATCGTTGCGTAACAGTAAACAGTCGCTGGATAAAGGACTCCGTCCTATGACGTCATTTTTCTTGGGAATTTCTTCAGTCAACTTTCGGTACCCGACGGCTGTTTATTAGCTTTTGCTCCCAGAAGGGAGTGAAATAGGGTCGTGAAAACTATAATTTTTAACATATTTCCACACATTTTGAAATTATGCAGATGTGTTTTCTTGTTATGTTTATGTTTGTTTTATGTGTTGATGCATGTTTTACAAGAAATCTTCCCAGCATGAACCGTCCCCTTTAACCATGTCCACTTGCTCAGTGACAGGTCGAGGATGAGGTCATGCATTTTTTTCACAGTGGCTACAGTTAAGGAAGTTTAGACAGGTTGCTGTGTACCTTTGTTGCACCAGTCTGGTGCATTAGAGGCAGGAACCAGAACAGTCTGAGTCTACAACCAACGGATTCCATACTTTGTTTCCCCTTACACAAGATCTTCCAGGGCTATAAGCCTTAACGTTAATACTGCATGGGTGATTCGGCACAATGTTAGACAGGCATTGTGGGAAGGCAAAAGGGGCCATGTTTGCCACTTTTGCCTTCATACAGTGCCTTTCTGCATGTATGTTTNTAAGAATACTAAATGGTGATAAACTGTTTCTTGGCTAAGCTTGTTATAATTTCCTATGGCTTATTTTATGAATTATGTTAAACATGAAATGTGAAGTACATTTATGTTGATAAATATGTGAGATGTCCCCATGACATATTGACGAAGTAATGATGTTGCAACGCTTTGTGCATGAATATCAGAGTGTCTGTGTATTATCTGCTCCGAGCGCAACAAAAGAGGGGGTGGTTTTTTTGGTACTCACCGCATAAGTGCACGTTTATAATGGAGATCAATGGCGCGTTAAATGCGGACCACGCTGAGTACGTGTAACAGATTTATTCCTTAATGTTTGGAATGTTTGGAACCCGCTTGGAAAACTCACAACCATCAGTCTTTCTTTTGCCACTTGGGGGTGCACTTCAACTCAGGGCGGATTGTGTACCAAAATCAAAATACATTTGGCCTGTGGATTTGGTGAGAAATTCATCTAAGAATGTAGTATTTTCCAGAACAGAACACACTTTCAGAAAAAAATGATATTTTCAAATAAGCCTTATGGGCTTGAAAATCAAGTCAAGCAAATCTTGCAATGTAATTCTGCTAATTAGTGCAAGTCGTCATGCGAATGAATGTTCGTTTTAACTTTTCAAACATGGTTTTTAAACGTCTTCATAGTAACTAAGGATTAGTAGAAATGGCCAGTGCCAGACTAGTAAGCAGGTACACTGAAGCTGATTGGGGGCTTTTGCATCACTGGACATCTACAAACAGATTTCATTGAACTTATTTTACGATGGTTTAGTGGTCCATGGACATTACTCCAGTTAGTCCAGCTTTTGAAGTCCCATCTTTTTTCTTCCGGTTTCATTTTAGCCAAGTGCAGCGTGGTTATTCCAATGATCATGGTGTCATGGGCTCCGGATCCGGCAAGGTAAGACTCATAATACAGTCTACCCCTAGTCACGCTTCAAAATGTAATATCTTGGACCTTTTCTTGCCTGGAGTGTGAGCTTTCTCTCTTTTCTCAAAAATGGGAAATTTGAATAATCATAAAAGGCTTTTTAAAAGTGGATTAGAGGTGTGCACTGTTCGCAGATCAGAGCAAAAACTCCTCTGCAGTTTTTCAATGCTTGCATTCTTTTACACTGAGGTAATGTATAAATTCCAGTTGACCTAAAGGAAAAACCTATCGTGTTTTGGCATTAACGCAACCATGTACATGTAAACGTATCCTACATGTCGGTTTGATGTACATCTATACATGATCTGTGCAAAGTGTACACAAAGTCCTTAGAGGTTGAGTAAAACCTTGAATATAGATGAAAAGTCACATGATGATGTCATCATTGCATTACTGGAGGTTAATCACTTATTGGGTATCCATGTACATCAATTTCTGCACACAGCCAAGTATCATGACAATTATAACAGTAACTCAGGTGCCTTACATGTCTTTAAAATATCAATTTTGATGACATTCATATTTTTTGTAACACGAGTCAAATGTCTATCGAAAGACAATCAGGTTACAGGTATGATGTCATCAAAATGTCAACTGACTTGTTCTCAAAAACAAGCAGAAAAGCCTAAATTAGCACAAAAAATGGCTGTGTCACAAACACTGTGGGAAAACAAACACTCAGAAATGTCTAAACCTGACAGGGAAGGTAAATGGGAGGGGGAATTGGGACTGACATGGTTCTAATGCCTGAGCCCTTGAAAATCAACAGATTTTTATCAACACAGCTTTCAGTTTGACAAGTTCTTTAAGAGGTTATTCACGAGGGCAGAAATACCTTTTGCCCTGTAGGGTGGAGGAACAGGTGGATCCATCCGCGATGCTGGTGGAGCATTCGGCAAGATGGAAGCAGCACACGAGGAGCAATACTTCAGACAGCTGGTAAGTGTTCACCCATTGACATGCCAAATCTTCTGCAATAATCGCAGTCCTAAGATCTGTCAAAGCTTAGAGCCTACAGCATTAGGCTTTTCGGGTAGTGGGTGCGCGCATGTTGTCGCTGCCCTCTCTGGTAATATCCATATTAATAAGCCTGGGTGGAGAGAGGCAAGTCGAGGTAAAATGCCTTGCCTAAGGCCACAACATATAACCAGCTGCTGGATTGAAACTTCACACCCTTCAGCCAGGCATCACAGGCCCTAACTACTTGTACCAGGTAACATGCCTGCCAAGTCTGCCAGAACCTATCTGAAGAAGCCAATTAAGATACCCCCCCCAGCCCGTTCTGATTTCAGGGTGTGAGGTTCTTGAACAAAAAATGCAAGATGCCCTGAAGCTCCTGTTTTATCTGTCGATCGAGAGCACTTGTATTTGAACATCTTAGACGTCACTAGTACTAAGGGTACCTGGAACAATTGGAAATTAATACCCAAGTTGCAGGGGTTCAGATATACGCAGAACTGAAACCACGCCACTCAGCGTGAAAAATATCAACAAGGTTAAATGACACAAACACTGTAAGAATACAAGAAGGTATGAAATGTGATAGCATGTACAGAGGCCATGTGTGTAAAGAAGAACGTTCCTTGGACATTCTATAAATGAGAGAAATTTGGGCTTTTCCTGACTCCTTTGTAGCAAGCTGAGCAGCTGAAGGCCCTCAAGAAGCACCACGACGAGGAGATTGAGGCCCACGAGCGAGAAATCAACCGTCACGCTGAGGAAATCAAGCGGCTAAAAAAGCGCCGGAGAGAGATTGATAGTCACACCGGGTCAAGTAGCGATAGCGATTAGATTTGGTTGATTTTGCAGGTTGGCAGGTTTTTTTTTTTGCAAGCCCACAAGTTGATAAATGAGTACTTCTCTGTCAGAAATTGCAGGCTGTCTGTGCTGCCCATCTCAAATTTTGCCGTAACTCAACGGCAGTCTGATGCTGTACCGTGTTCTGCATATACCATTGTCATTAAAGATCATAAACTCACCAAAAAAATGTCGTTGAAATACACTGATTATTTGATAGTAGCTTTACTCCTTTGCAGTGACTTGTTCAATTAAAATTTTACCTGGAAATTAAGTCCACAGTGTCCGTTCCTTCCATAAACAAGATTTGCGCTTTATGGAAAAAAAGTAGTTTTGCATTTTTTTTGGTGACCTTTTCACAGAGCGTCTCAGCTTTTGTGAAAGATATGACAAGGATAAGGAAATATTTGAAGACAGGATGTTTTAAAAGTATTCTAATTTTTAAGTTGCATGCACAGACTTGATGCATTTACCACCAGTAGTGTTTATGAACATGTAAAACTTGATATTCATTTATACTGATTATTGCAGATGGTGTTTAAAGTTATGCTACAGAAGGAAAATCTCTTATTTTCCACTTCAAGAACGTCATCGTTATGGAATTCAATGGGGCCAGTATCTGACAACTACTGAGAGACAGTGGGTGTTTTTTGTGCACTGATGTCATTGCATCTCATAAAGATGAAGAGTGCCCTCGTTTGTTGCATATGGAGTAGGAATTTCTTTCTGTTTGTTGATTACCGTGATTATTAGGCAAAGCTATGGATTGTTAATAAAGGATTTTAGTTATGGCATCTTTAATTGTTCAAGATTTCCTGAAGTCTCTGTCCGATTGTCCATGTTTGTTACCATCAGAAATAAAGTGGGACGGAGAGACATTACAAACTTTCCCAATTTACTTAGTGTTAAAACAGAAATTACTCAAACTGAATGTATAATCCCCATAAACAAAAATTTTTTTCTTGAAAAAGTCGGCAGGTTTTTAGAACATGGTTAACCTTCCCTAGTCATTTTGGAAAAATAGGTCTATCTTACATTTTTGGCACCTTCCAAGCCACATGCACTCAACAAAACTGCAAAGCTCCTGTACACTGTTTCACTAGAAGTGCCTTCCACAGTTTTCTGCTAGGCCTACATGAGCATGTCAGAACACAAACCTCTCACTGAAAACCTAAATTTGTCAGTAATAATCATGTACAACGTGCAGGATTGAACAGTTACCAAGACTGTCCTGGTTGAAAACACTGACGAATCTCTCAGTTTTCAGTTCACTGTTTTCTCCATGGCAAATGATATTTTGTCATTCAACGGAGGGTCGTGACAGGTGTCGCCAATAAGGATGCGATCAGAATGTGAACTATGGAAAAACAACAAAAACCTCAGGTAGCTCTGCACCTAACCGAAAAAAATCTTGTTTCTGAAGCTGCAAATTCCCATACATGTACAATAAGTACTGGTACCTCCGTCATTCCAAAGTGGCTTTCATTTATAATTAAAGACGAACCTACAGTGAACTTTGCCAGGTCTTGAATGTTGGTATTTCCTGTCATGTTGCGGCATTTTCTAAGAAATTGATAGCCAGTCATGTATTTCAGGGGTGGTTTTTACCCGCATTATCGCTCCACCTTCTGCCACAGGCATTCCAACTCGTGGAATTAAACTAAAGGAACACTGCAGTAAGTGCCTCAGCACAAGACAGTTTCATCCAATCATAGGTCTTGTGGCTGGGTAAAAGTCTTTCCCAGTTTGTGCGGTAACTACTTCTTGCTCTTTCAGTGAAGAAAGCAAAACTAGGGCAAAAGGTCTTCCGCATTCATGCTTGCCAGTTAAACTTGATAGATTTGTAACAGGTGGGGGAGGTCGTTACATCACGTACAATTAAAATTTTATGACCGATGATAGTAGTTTTTGCCTTTGATATGGTCTCATCGAGACACAAAACACACTGGTTGTTGACATGGTTTGATTTTTCTCGGAATTTATTCAATTCATTGAGCGAATATTCAAATTTTATACACGTGGCTTCATGTATACAAATATACAGAGACGTCAATACTAAATCTGCTGCACTCTTCAATAACAAGTACCCAAGAAAATGAAGACCAATCCTATTATCAAAATACCAGCAGTTTATGTAGCAAGAGTTGCTTCTATTGGATTTGAAGAATTCTTTGTATCGGAAAACGGTACAACAAAAAGGATGACATAAAAAAATGAAAACAAAACCAATAAACACATAAAACAAAATGGGTCTATTGTTATTATTTGGATAATGCAATGTTGAACAATACATCGTTATTGCAGCTTGTTCGTTTGTCAATTTGACTCGTCCGTCGGAGCGTTGGCTTAAAATCTGCCATCAAAAAAAGTCTTGAAAGTCAATGGTTGGGCAAAGTGCTCCTTCTTTGAGCAACGCATGAGCATTGAGCATGATTCACACATACTCTGCAAAATATCACAACCGTCAAGATTTTTCTGAAGTCGATTATCTTTCCATCTAGTTTGGAAGGATTATCAACCGTGATGAAGTCCTTCTCACTAGTGCTGTCTCCTTAGTCTTCCGTCAAGTCTTCGTCAGAAGTTTGTCAGTGGTGTCCTCCTGTGGTAGTTTAACTGTCAGTCTCATTCCCTGTCCTTCCGTGTACTTGTCCGTGTACTATTCACTTTGCTATGTGTCCACTGACGGCATGCAGGTTAAGGGGTTGGCAAATGAAGTACTTGCTTTGGCAGCTGCATGAAAAGTCAATGAGACTAGTTTAAAGGCCTTGTCTGTTCCTCCATTTGGCATGCATCTATGATGGGATTTCCTCCACGTGCGGGAATCAGGATTGCGATGCATCTGCTAATTCAGCTTAAAACTGTCTACATTTAGATGGCAAGTAGTTTTTTGCTAGCGATCTTTCCTTTGGAAGGTGTTTGATGTAGGTTTGCATGCTCAGCAGCAATAAAAGCTTGGCCCCTGACATTAATTTGAAGCGCAAAGAAAATGTATTGATGAGCTTGTAAGAAAAAAAAAAGTAATGTAATTAACTCCACTACTCAAAACGGAATTATATTAAAACATGAATCCAAAAATAAAGATTTAAATGTACATTATGAAGACTCCTGTACAGGTTTTTAAAACATGAATGCCATTTGTAAAACCGTGCAATTAAACTGTGTAACTGAAAACATACACAACTTTGAAAAACAACTGCCCAAGATGCAAATGCAGCATGAACAAGCATTGTGCATGAAGTCTGGGCTATTTGTGATATGCTTTGAAGAAACATAATTTCTTTTTGACAAATTAAATATACCCGAATTAGCATAGGAAGAAAAATATTTCCAATACCACGATAAACAATCTTAACATGGAAAACAGTAAAGAAATAATCGGAATCCATAGTTACACATTATTTTTCAGTTGCACGTGCATTTAAAACTCCGTCAGAAACAGGTCATGTAATTGTTTAGCGTCTGGTTCAACAAAACAGTCCACATGTCACTGTCAGTAACAAAAGACACCTCACAAAACTACCTTCAGCGAAAACTGACAAAATGTGTGCACATGAAATTCTGAGGCAGCGCTGAGTTTTGACAATCAAGAAACAGTAAACCACTACACTGGTAATGATAGTGTGGTGTATACATAAATCCTTGTAACATTCCAACATCAGAGTACTGTTTGTATAAGCTAGTAGGACGTAACAAATTTCTTTTAACATTGTCACGCAAAATGGTATAAAAGTGCTCAGCTGTGGGGATGATTTAAGGTGGGGGTAAAGAACATTTATGTCACACGCAATGAAAATAAGTTTCTCGGGATTTTTTTTGCGATCGGGATCTCGAATGATTGAATGCTGATGAGGTTTTGTTGTTTTTAACGATCCTTTGTAATCATATACTGATTAGATCAATTGTCTTCTTTACCAAGTGTTCAATCTGAATGTTGTAGCTCACGGAAATCAGAGTTTGAATGATGAGTTAGGCATCTTGTTCATTAAACCATGACTGCAACGAAATGCAGTACTTTAGCATTTTATGAATGCTGCAGAAACTGCTCGGAGTTCTGTTTGTTGGTTGAAAAAAGTAAAAGTAACCCCAAACACAAATAACCCGTAACTTGACTGAAATTGGACTTGCAAGACTAACGTAAAAAGATTAAGAAAAGCTCAAAGCAAGGCAGCACGGGCCAAACACTGGTATTCCAACAAATCACATATCACGTTCCAAGCCAAATGAAAAGAGGACAAAAGAAACCCCCAAATGATACCATTTCTGAAAATGAATATTAGATTTTCCATCACACGCAATACTACTTCAGCAGATTTTAGAATATTTCTTGAAAATAGGAAATTGTTAAGCAAATGTGGTACTTAACAAACCCAAGCTTATATAAATTGAGTCTTGATATCAATATTCATTACTGAAGTGAGCTAATTCAACTTGAGAGTATGAATGAACATGGAAAAATGGGTAGAAAACGATTATGCACGATCTATGATAGAAACTGGGAAAGCTGCTATAGTACCTCATACATACTTAAAATCTACCACATATTCACCCCTGGTCAAATTCCTTTGCTGCGCGCAGAAATAAATGGCTAGAATAGTCATGAACCAACAACAGACAAAGAGGAAGTTGTGTCACAGGTGGTACGATGCAGTTCTCTGAAACCTTTGTAAAGTGTCAGTTCTCTTTTCAAGCACATACAAATTTGAATATTTGAATATTTGATAAATTGTGGAATATGCATGAGATAGTGAAGTAAAAAAATGGCGTGATTTACCATGAGAAAGCTGGCAGAACTAGTTCCATTCAGCAGCAGCTGGCCAATGACTTTCATTATTCTCGGTTGGTCACTCACCAACACCTTGTATGAGGAACTTTATTGAGCTATCTATAGACTTACAAATCACCTCTTTATTATACTTATTGGCGGGAATGCCCACCTTCCTTGCATGCGTCACCCACATTAGACCCATCCTGGGGCTGTTGCACCATGGACTTTGTGTTAAACTAATAAATGGCCCTTTGTGACCACTCATGAGAACCCAGGTGTGTCTGAACCACCAGGTGTGTAGGAGCAGCCATTCCGCTTGTGTTGTGCAAATGCACTCTACACACACTGGTCTACACACAAATGGCACACCAATTTTCGTCTGAATGTGCACAGTCTCCCGTGCACAGGGTGTTCATTATGTCCAAGACTGAAGGGGTACTTTGGCAAAAATGTCCTCCTGTGCCAGTCAGAGAATGTCAGAGCTAATGAGAGTAAAATTTCTGAAATTCTGAAGAGTGCACTACGAAAATGATAATAGTTGGTCACAAGCAACAACACAAATCTTGGTCATCTTTTCAACCATTGCCAATTCTCTCTACAAGAAAGTAATACTATATGTAGATCTTATTTTTGTTAATACACCACACATCAAAGTAAAAATATGATGAGAAATACCTTGACACCTTTTCCTGTATACTATTCCCACTTGAAGAAATTTATTACGTCAAAGTAAAATACACAGGTTACCTTATAACGTCATCCGTACGGATATTAGCTTGTAAACACAGTGTTATCATATACTCTGTGCATTCTTAATCAGCCATTGAGTTTTGCTTCAAAAGCAGAGTTCTTATTGGTGAGTTGTACTAAAAGTATTTCTACAAAATCTAGCAATATCGAGGAGGCAGGTCCACCACTACTGGCTTTTATGGTTGTCCATTGCACAGGGTAATAGAAAACCCAGATTCACTTTCAGATGAACACAGGGCCTGTATTGCACCCTGATTGGACAACACAAAAATGTCAGTGTATTGCGGGAATGCCTGTAATTCACACACTTAAGTGGCCATATTCACATTGGCAAAAACTGCAGAGATAACATTTTGAAACACGTTTCAGTTTCCAGTTAGTTTTAAAACCTGATCTTGTCTGAGGCTTCAAGGTTGAATCTCTGTGTTGTTCAGTTATGCACTATTGATGACACGTAAAACACATACATGTTGCAGCCCTTCCAACTGACAGGATCTCACAAGCTAAGGAATTGGTGTTCATGATATGAGTTTCATTTTAGTGCTCACCACAAGGGATTCACAATGCCGAAAAGCTGCCACCAGTGAGGCGAATCCTGAACACCTAAACAGCATCTTTAGATAAAGTCAACACTCGTTTGTGGACACGGCAAGAGAGCATTCTCTTCACTCAAGAGGTAGGACTCCTCCGAGTGCTTCAGGTTGAACACGGTCTTAGAGCATCGAGTGTAATATTTTTGTTTGTAAGGGCCTGCTACATGTGCGGTACTAGTCAAAAAGGGACAGTGACAAACTTCGAGTTCATATACCCAGAACGATGACATTAAGCTAACGAGCCCCCATTAAGGCAACTGGTGCCACAGGTGGACTGGAGGGGACAGCAAATGGTCCAAGCCCCCCCCCTCCCGAGACAAATGTTGTTTCGACAGTTTAAGTGCTCAGAGAGGATAGCATTTGGGTACTATTTCGTTTCTTCCACAAACTTCTAACGCCCCAACAAAAATCAAACTCACATCTCCAAAACATCATAAAGACTGCATTATGGGCATGTGAAGAAATGTTCAAATTTGGCTGCCGTCCCCCCCCAAAAAAAATTGGTTCTAGGCTCTGCCCCTTAAATGGCAGACTGCCTCATAGATACCTTATCTTGTAGTGCCTGAACCGGCTACTACTACATGTAATGTGAATATGCCCCATTTATTCCTCGGGTCTGCTAGTACACTTCCTACTTTTGCCAGACAACCTTTTTTCTTCTAACTTCAAAGATACAAATACCTCTTGAAAACACTCTGAAACTACTGTACTTACTTTTTTTTGGTTCAGTTCTTTTGTTTTACAAAAGTCACTGAGATTAAACAGGAAAGACCATGGCAGGTTTTAATTTTCCAGCAGCGAAAGCACAGAAAACGTTAGTGCACTTTAATGTCGTGGCATTTTAGTATTCTGAATCATACGTCACTTGTTCACAGCACTGGACTTAGGCAAAAATAGTAAAAATGTCAATGTCATGATGGAGGTATCAGCTTTGGATCGGTACAGGCTAAACCTTACGCCCCAAATCTCTGATACCGTTCAATTTTTGAATTGGTTAACATGGTAATCTAATGCCTATCACTTCTAAGTCTTCTGCCAACCCCCCCTACATCAAAGCCTCTTGTCCTCCTAATGTAAACTGAGGTCAAGAGTTGTTTTTTTCTGTACCAGCTTCCTAATACACAACTTTTTTATACTCTGGCCCTTTACCCTTCTCTTCAGCTGATCAGGTCAGTATACAATCAGGAATACAAAAATATACTTAAATATACCTTGTATCTGTCACACGTTCATGGCAGTTTTATTCTACAGCAAACCCTGGCCACTTCACACATCCTTGTACAGCCCAAGGCTTCCCAGCCCCCTCCCCCACATTTCCTCCCTCGATGCGGGCTTGCTACTGTGCTAATACTGAAGACATCTGCTGGAATATACTGTCAAGTCGTGGCGTTGGCTGGCTGTGCTGACTTTATCAGAGACGTCTGTCGCGTTATGCTACGTACATGTACATGCCGTTTTGTGCAACGTGGCGTCAATATATAGGAAATGGAAAAAGCTGGAAAAAAGTAGACTAAGTTTTGCCGCTCACAATGCGAGTTGAATCCTTTGTTACTTGTCAGTCAGGTATCGTCAATTCTTAAATCCTTGTCTCGCCTTCGCCGGGAGCTAAGCTTCCCATGCTGGACTGGCGACCACTGCTGTAGGAAACCGAATCCCCGGATTGTGGACAGCTGACCGACTCTGCCGAGCGTGCTGGCCGTATTCTGACTGCCCCCGGTCGCTTCCACCTCCGACTCAGTTTCTTCGGCTCTGTGGGAGTGGTGGCGGTAACTTCATCCTTGCTCCCTGCTTCATCGACTGCATCTCGAGTCTGGTGGCCGAGTCTTGTTTTCCCACCGGATGCATCCCCAGATTGCGCCTGCGCATCAGTCGGGGGACACGTGCTGATAGTTACGTCCATTTTTTCCAGGGTGTCGTCCTCCATCAGACTTGGGTCGGACGCCTTCAGTTTGTGTGCCACCACCGTGCCAGTAATGTCCGCCGGGGAAGTCGCCGACGATGTGTCTGTCGATTCATGCCGCTGGCCTGTCCCCTCCCGTGGGCGTGGAGTGCCAGAGCTCCACACCCGCCTTCGGAAACCCTTTGGTGCGGTGTCAAGTTCAGACTCGTGCGAGTCATCCTTCTCCTCACTTCGGCTCTCTTGCGTCTTGCCATGCCGCTCCTCTCGATAGAGTTCAATCAGCATATCTAACTTCCGGTCGATCAACGTGACCCGTCGTTCCACTTTGACAACTCGTGATAGCAGGCTGATATTGGGATCAAAGAGTTCCAGGTCACCGCCACCACGGCCTTTCACTCTCCTATCCTGTTGCCCTGGTTTACCTAAAATATTGTCAATCCTGTGAGTAAAAGATAAGAAGTCTATCATTTTGCATTGTGCAGGTAATGAAAGTTGAATAGGAACTTCATTACTTCCCAACAGGGCACAGTTCTATCTGAGCAACCTGTAAGACCTGCAGCTTTGAAGTCAAAACCAATAGTGTTCATCATATATTCCACCTAGCAGGTCCTATCTAGCAGAATGCGCACTCCACGACAAATGTCTGAATGGGAAGTCAAGGGGTTGACCAACTTTAGAAATTGGTGCCCCTCCAACACATCAGTGCTATACAGTCTCAACATACGAATACCCCTCTCTGATGGGCAGTGTTAAATGAAGCAGCCAGTGTGCACATGCTACATTCTTCTCTTACACAAATTCACAAAGAGACCTCAGTAAAGGTGCACTGTGTGCTGATCATAGATTGTATAGCGCCTGCGTAGCGCCGCAAGATGGTGAACTTCACCCTGAGTACATGTAAAACGTTGTAATCGCATGGGCGCTATTTGAGCAAGTGATACGCCTGTGCAATGCACATTAATGCAGAGGCGCAGGCGCTGCGGCAGGCACGTGCACCTGGTGAGCCTGTGCCTAAGCATTACTGTAAACTGCGCAGGTGTATCGCTTGCTCAAATGGCACCCATGATAATTACACCGTTTGGGCAGAGTTATCCATCTTGCGCCTTTGGCGCTGTACGATCTTTGGTGCTGATCGTCTCCCCATGCCAAAAACTGGGAATTCCACTGGGAACGGTTAAAATGATGAAATTTCAAGCAGCATGAAGATCAGAAGTGTTTTCCGCAGATCTACCTCAGCAGACTATGCACAAACCAACTGGACAGAGCTGTAAATTACCTTGCTTGGAGGCTTTTGATTCTGGCCAGCATGTCAGCATGTCCCGAGGAATACTGCTCAATGACATCCTTGACGTCGTAGGGCCTAAACGCCTCTTTGAACTTCCGCCGCGCCACAAAGTACTTGATTTTCCGGACGGCCCTGATGGCATTCTTGTGAGCCTCTGTCAGCTTGGTTAGCCCAACTGGCTCTTCTTCGTGAAAGAGCAAGGAAAGAAAGCACAGCCACAGTTTCAATATCAAAATAGCACTCATTTCAGGCACAACTCAAATCATTTCTAAAGGTTCAATTTTATTCAGCTTCAACTGCCAACAAATATCCCAGCAAGAAACAAGAATAAAATGATAATCAGCCAGAAGTTAACCACAGTGTATTCAAAGCATTATGGCGGCTGGTATGGATGTCAGCAGCCCAATGAAAATGACACATTATCTATCTTGACGACAATGACCTTATGCCAATAGATCTATGAAGACACAGTGGTGTCGTTTGTGAAAAGGCAGTGAAGAGCATGTGGCGTGCGTGATCTGGTTTATACATTTATATATGGAATACAGTGTCCATGGCTTTGAACTTGAAGCATTTTGCCACAAGAAGACTGCACCTCAGTGGGGCCACAATATGACCATGGCACTTTAGCGAGCTTTCAACAAGCTGATGGTTTGCATCTGAGGACCGTATTCAATGAGAGGAACTTCTTATTCTAAGAGTCACTGAGTTTTGACCGAGTTTTCATAATATGAGCTTTTATTTGACCATACCAATTTGACAGTGGGGGTGGGGAGTATTGTGATCCTGGTCTGTTACAAGCACAATTCCCTTCTCCACAAGCTGATTCATATGACAACGTGAACAATACATGACAATAACAATAAAATTGTCAGATTAAATTGAAACTTTACAGATGTACTTACAATGAGAATAGCCTTTACATGCCAACCAAGAGCTAAAAAAATGTGCATGGGACAGTCCAGATCTTAGAGTGAGGTGGGGAGAGAGATTCTGCTCATTTAAGGTTAACTGCCTTGTTGGAAATACTGCAACTAATTGTTCAAAGGCACGAATGAAACCTAGCGCCAAACCTTGTGCATGCTGAGTGTGGTATCGGTGTGAACCCCGGGATCGAATCGAGTCTTGTTCCCCGTATGTCCCCGTGCTGAGCTCCATCTTCTTGTCCTCGTCGTCGTAGATCCCGTTGGCGCCCTTCTTGACCCGATCACTGTTCCGATGCAGCATGGGGCTGTTGGTGCTCCTCTTGATGGACAGCCGTGAGATCAGATTGTTCGTACGGAAACTACTGTGGGGAACCAAGAAGAGAATGACAGAAAGGCATGCCAGTTTGAACAATGCGGAGCAATCACTCAAGCCCCTCCCCCTTTTCACAGGCGTGGGGGGGAAAAAAAGGAAGTAAAAGAAAACACATTCACGCGAGAAAACAAACAGGTTTGAACAAAAAATGCACCAACAGTCTTTAAGAAAACAAATGCATCATTACATTTCAACCATCCGAACAGAGGTGTGACCGTCAACAGCTATCTGGTTCCCAACAAGTGCAAACGTAACTTTGCATTTGCACGCCAATCCAAGATGAGACAAGTCCCAAAACGTGCAAACACATGTGACATTTCACACTTTTAACAACTAATACACTTCCAGAAAAACTTACATGAAGACAGAGCCAACGTTTGTAATCAATAATTAACAATGACATCTCCCCACCAACACCTGTGTGCAACTGAATTCAGTTTGTAATATAATTTCTGACAAAGACAGTACTACGTGGAATTTATGACTGAATGATGGTGACAAGAAATCCAACGGGAAAAAATGGGACTAGGTGATTGGATAGAAGTTTTGATGGGTGCCACTCGGACAACAGAGGGTGCTCTAGCCATGGAGGAAGGACACAAGGAGTGTAAACTGCCCTGGCCAAGTACCGCTTTCTGGCATGCCCAGTATGCCCATAGCCAGAGCCATAGCGCTTGCAACACGCCATCTGTTTCACTAGTGTAATATGGAAGTATAGGAAATTGTCTTTAAAAACTGATGTTTGGAGGGCCAAATTAAATTACAAACATTGCACGGATAATGGAACAGTGTATCACAATAAAAAAAAGTTTATTCATAATGGCAGAAGTAGGTCTAACGTCAGGGATTCTCTCTATTTCCTAGTCACAGTGACAAGTTGTAGTTAATTGAAAACAAAGCACCAGAAGAATTGCTAGGATATTACTGGCCCCCTTGTCTGACTACGGAATACTTTCTATTATTCGTCTGACTGGGCAGCAGTGATCATCAGGCACTTTGAAGCGCCAGAGTTGTAACTCCTTCTGTGTCTTTCGTCTGTGGACTATCTATCCCTTACCATAGCGAGTGCGAATACAGAGTGTCCCAGCCCCAAGTTAGAGAGAGTGTT